GATACGAGCGCGAGACTGTATGACTCCCATGCCGACGATGGGGACACCTTTCGTACTGTACCACCGCACAAGATGGTCACAACCAGGGCTTTCAATGCGGGCGCCAAGACGGGGCTGCTATTGTAGGCCAGGTCGGAGAGAGCTTCTACCCACGCTCCACAGACACGAGGCTGAGTGTCTGTAGTTCGCATGGGCCTGTTGGCTGGCTGTTGAGGCACAAAGCTCTGGAGAAGGAAGCCGACCAACTGGGAAGCCGGTGCTGCTAAAGGGCGGGAGACGGTGACCGATGACCGTTTTACCCGCTGGCGAGTGTCTGATGATTTCCGGTCAAAACGGATCACCCGACGGTCCTCAAGTTCTTGACGGGCTGTACTGACGCCCTGAGGTACAAATGTCCACTCGGGTGCGAATCCCGGACAGGTCAGGTTGCTATACGAGCACTGGAAGCAGACTGGCTGTCTCCCATTGCACTGGAGTGCCCAGACTTGATCAGTCTCATCGGAGGAACAGTTGGAAAACCTTGTACCCACACTAATCTTCCGTTTCCTACAGTTGTCGCATATGTCCCTCCTTTTGACCTTCATGTTCTCGAACCCAAGAAGTCTTCTTGTGGATTCTGACGATCTGTCCACTCTCGACTCGGTTTCCCTGGAAAAATCAAAGACGATGTCCCAATTGTTTTGGTGCAGCAAGACAGCTTGATAGACACAGGCTGGCAGCGTTTTGAAGACAGCAATGGAATTGTGGTTTGAGCAGCCCCTTCGTTGATATACCGATCCGCAAGGATGGGAACCCCACTGCTCAATTCGGAGCTCCGTTACATCGCCCCAAAGACTTGTTGGCTCCCTACATCACTGGAGTCTGACAGGAGCAGGCAGCACTAACCGAAAACGGTGCCAAATTCCGCCAAGTAATGCACCTTGCATCCCTCAACCACCCATGGACAGGGAGCTAATTGGCCCCGAATCGGATCTTTGAGAAACCCTCGCCTAACAAAAGGTCCGTCTATATGGAAGCAAGTTTCTCCGAAGAGCATCGATTACATCAGGTATTGTCAGTCATATATCCTCACGTGCTTTACTATTAGACTTGGATCTCCCAAGCATCTCAACCACAATGGAAGGGCTGTCCCTCTACTTTCCCACTTACACCCAACTGGGCAAGTATTCTCCCTTGAGATGGCGTCATGTGCAAGGGCGCGGGGTGCTTACTATATTACCCGAGCGTGTGACCACGACGCAGTATTTAGAACTCAAGCAGTTCACTCATAAAGTTTTGACTCTCAGTCAATTCAACTTCTGCTCGTTCATAGGTCTTGTCCCTGCCACAATACAGCTCCGCCATGGCATCCTCACCCAAACTCAACTTCGCTGCTCCCCTAAGCCTCACTCACATCGGCACTGCAGCCGCCATCATCCATCTCAACGGCGTCAATCTCATCACCGACCCCGTCTTCTCCGCCGCCGGCGAAGAGTTCCACCTCGGCGGCCACACCCTCAAAACCACCCTCTCCGCCGCCCTCTCCCTCTCCCACCTCCCCCCAATCGACGCCGTCCTCCTCAGCCACGAAGACCACCCCGACAACCTCGACTCCCCCGGCCGCCAGCTCCTCGACGGCCGACACGTCCTCACCACCCCCGACGGCGCGTCTAAACTCGCTCCCCGCCCTGGGGTCCGCGCCCTCCATCCCTGGGAAACCACCACGCTCACTTTCGGCGGCCGCGAATTCGCCATCACCGGGACCCCCTGCGTGCACCTTCCCGGAGGCGAAGTCACCGGGTTCATCATCACTACCCCTGAATTCGGCGAGACTGATGGTCTACCCAACGCGATTTACTTCTCGGGGGATACGATCTACCTGCCTGAGCTCGCGCAGATGAAAGACAAGTTCCACATCTCGGTGGCGTTGCTGAATATAGGGAATGTGTTGGTTCCGCATCCGGAGGGGGGCGTGTTGCAGATCACCATGGCGGGCGAGGATGCGGCGAGGCTGGCGAGGGAGATTGAGGCGGATGTGTTGGTGCCGATGCATTTTGAGTCGTGGGCGCATTTTACGGAGGGGAAGGAGGAGTTGAGGGGGGCTTTGGAGAGGGAGGGGGTGCAGGAAAAGGTGGTTTGGTTGGAGCCGGGGGTGAAGACGAGGGTTGTTTGAAGGGGCCCGGGATGCTTGGGGTCAAGGCGATGGATGCGCTGAGGGTTTTCCTCAGTAGGGAGGGTTTGTGATCTCGCTCTGATTTGCTGCAATACTAATTCGACTACATCACATTCTAATTCGAAGCCGATCTCACGTGTAGCTAGCTCCTCGAATCCACCATAACACGGCGTGTATATACCTACAAGTGAAATATGTACTGGGACCTCCACATTCTCAACCGAAAGCTACCCCCTCTCAACACCCCCCTACATTACCAACGTCCCCCCACCGCTCAAGCCTTCTTGACCAAGTTCGCACACGCAATACGAGCCGAGCTGGCATCATGGAAGACAATAGCACGCTCGCCAATATACCCCAGCATGATCTTATCCAGCGCGGAGTAGGGGTCGTTGAAACTACACGTCCATGTCAGCCAACCCTCCCAGTGAAAAGTCAAACGAATAACAGCAAACTTACGTCTTCTTCGCAGCGGGAGCATCCACCTTGCCGTACTTCCCAGACAAATCACCAACCTCGCAAGTCGCTGGGAGCGAAGCCTCGCACGGCGGGTCCTGGCCGCGGACGAAGGAGTCGAGATGCGCACCAGTATCGGCGCATGTGCCATTTACAGGGACGCCCTTGGCGTGGACGTGGAAGTCTGAATAGGGATATTCGTCTCAGTCTCGACCATCAGGATAAAAAGGGGGATGGTGGATACGCACTGAACGGGCCCTTGCCCTCAGGCAGACCAGTCACGTCAACGGTATAGTTGACACCGAGTGTCCACCCTACAGCCGTCACGGTCCCCTTGACGCCCTGGCTTCCGTCGAACGTGGCGACCCATACCTCGCCCACCGGGTTGTTCTTGACCGGCCGCGCATCGCCCATCTTGCCCGTGACGGTGCCATTGCCGGGCGCCGTCTGGGCCGCCGCGAGGGAGGCGGCGCCAAGGAGGCTGACGAAGGAGAGGAGCTGCATTGTTGCGACTAGGTATCTGGAAGCGACAGAAACAAAAACCGGGAGCCGACGTAAAGGAGTGGATTTGAGAGCGGACTTTGTCCTGGAAGTTACCCGTCTCTTGTAGGAAGTTAGCCCGCTTGCCTGGCTACCCAGGGGCAGGGGATCGGGTCTTTGGAATTATATATAATTAGAGCCCCCCGAATCAACGAAAATCAACATCAATGGGAATCTATTGTGTGGGCCGAATACAGTACTTTGGTCCCGCCTGCCTACCAGTTTGGGGGTCCGGCAAGCATGGAGTGTACCTGGGGAATATACAGGGTATGTGGGCGGGCATTGCTGTAATTCCGTAATTGGCCTTGGACAATCTCCATCAATGCTATCGTGGCTGCGGTTCCCCCTCCCGGCTGTATGGCTAAGTTGCGCCGACCCTCGCGCGCCAAGCAGGGGCGGACTGATGGCCGGCGCAATATGGAAACTTGAAGGATCCATGAGCCGCGGGACGTCTTCATTTGTAAAATCCCGGGGGGTCCCAATATCCGTATGCCCAATGACCTAGCAAAATCGCCATTTGGTTTCCAGCAACCGGACTCCCGAGCATAGAGGTGGGGGAGACAGAAAAGGTAAAAATGATGCGCAATCCATCATCTCAAGTGCATGAACCACAGCGACGCAAAGCGAGAGGAGGGTGCCGTTTGGTAGGCTGAAAGGGAAACTCGGCAGTGAGCGCAAAGAAACGAAACGAGGCAACGAGGGGAGATATCTCCGAACCAAACAAGCGATTCCCCCAGCCTGATAGCCCGCACTGCGTCATGCTCTGCGAGCTGCCCTCCGTCCCTTTTCCCGGATCTCGGCACGCCAAGCAAGGCAGAAGCTGACGACAGCGGATTCGGTAGCGGAGTGTGCACTTGCGGTCCGCGAGCCGACGAACTGATAAGGGTAATAGAGGCGACGTGGTATTCTGGCGAGGGCGATTACAGACGCCAATCTCTTTATATGGACCGAAGATCGCTGCATGTGGAATCTTCTTCAACTTAGGAAAACCCAAGAGCTGGGCGACTCCGGGGTCACCTCTGCTATCAGAGGCGAAGATTCGACGTGACATCGACAGGCGTCTCCCGGCGAACCCCTGATTCTGGCGTCGGCAATGGTGAAGTGAAGTGATATCCGTCTCCTTCTGATCCTGTCGTCGTCGTCAGCTCGATGAAGCGATGCGTCCAAAGCGAGGTTGTAAGCTTTCCTCCCCGACTAGCGAGGTGTGGCAGCCTGCTTCTACATCGAGGTGTGTGTGTGACTGTCTCGACTTTATCTCCGACATGTAGCCTCAAGCGGTCCCACGAGAGGCACAGTACCTGCCAAGTGCTCTCCAAGTAGGCAGTAAGAAGCTTCGGGAGTCAGAGATTGACTGAGGGCACGTCATCTGCTTGTATAACTCCCGGTGTGGGGGCACCGGGCCAGAGCTTGGCATCAAACCGGGGCTGCGGATATGTTTGTATATCGCGGGAGAGCGGGCGGCCTGGAAGCAATGATAGCTCCGCGAGTCTTGGTGACGGTTCGCATGCAAACTGAGCGTGGCAGTGTAACGATGTATACTCATGAAGTCGGTGCTCAATTGGCCGATTGTGAAGCTGCGGACTCGCCGGCGTCGAGAAGGAAGGGAATCTCCCCGCATGCCCAAACCACGTACTTGGTACAACGGAATTTGCATCACCACCACTTGGCGGGGGCCAGCTCAGGAAAACACCTTATCCTTGAGCCATATCGAGGAAGCCAGCATCTATCCGTGAGCCCCGTTGAGTTCATGTCCAGGCCTGCTGTTGTCTTTCGGAGCCCATCAAGCCCATGACCCAAAACACCAAGGCCAAAAGGATATGCCATCAGTCCAGGGGCAAAAAGAAACATTTCTCGATCCACCCAGGGGTCGAACCTGGAACCTCCTGATCGCTTCCTGAGGGGATGAGAACCCTCAAGATCGTAGTCAGACGCTCTGCCATTGAGCCAGCGGACCTTGTTGATGTTGCTGTTCAGAATATTGAGTCATGGTCTCCGAAATTTTGGCGAATGTTGAGAGTGGGCTGGAACGCAAGGGTATCCCAAGCTGCGCAGCGCGGAAGCGGGTGGTCCATGCCGTCGTCAAAGGATCGGCGCCTCGGTATGAGCGTGTCCAAAAACCGATCATCTTTAGAGAGAACAGTAGGATTCGTGCATTGCAAGATTATGAACATTGCGTGACGAAGCAATGCACTCGTCTAGATTGCTAGTGATGGCTGTCTTCTGCGCCGAGACCGAGGGACTGTTGAGTGGGGCAGCAAGGTGAACTCACCAGCGCCGATAAGATAAGCCCTTGGCGGGGCTCCAAGCTTCGGGGCAAGGCGGGGCGGGTCATCAAATATCCGTGCGCGCCCACACACCACGGCCAACCAGGCGAAATTTGCAACCACAGCGAAAATTATCGAGGCCAAGTTCGCGACATCCACAACACCGACCTCACCACATCACGACCACCACAAGCCGGCAAAATGGTGAACGTACCCAAGACCCGGAAGACCTTCTGCAAGAGCCGCGAGTGCGGCAAGCACACCCTCCACAAGGTCACCCAGTACAAGGCCGGCAAGGCCTCGGCCTTTGCACAGGGAAAGCGCCGTTACGACCGCAAGCAGTCTGGTTACGGTGGTCAGACAAAGCCCGTCTTCCACAAGAAGGCGAAGACCACCAAGAAGATCGTTCTCCGACTGGTACGATTGCCCGATTTACGCGGAGAATTCGAGAGGGGGGAAGCTAAACGGTGATCCAGGAATGCTCGTCATGCAAGGCCAAGAAGCAGCTGCCGCTCAAGCGCTGCAAGCACTTCGAGCTTGGGTGAGTTCTCTTCCTGCGATTTTTCACTGCGATCACGAGAAATGCCGCGCCCCGATGTCTACGAGCGAGCCGCCGAATGTTCACGAACGACCGACTCGAAATCGACGTCCGAAGCAGCCCGATTCAACATACAGTCCGATTTGGTGCCCGGCAGGCTCAGCCCGCACAGTTTCGTCCTTTGATGCTGGGTTGTGTGTCTGGTGTTCATGTCTGTACGGTCGCTATCTGGTTCCTGGGGCTTTGGGTTTCCCGAGATTATTAGATGACCGGGAGACCCAGATCCTAGATCATCGGCATGCGGGCGCTCTAGCACACAGTCCAAATCTTCGGCTGTTCGGTTCGCAACAAATCGTGTCCAAATCGAGGCTGGAGCCACCTCGGGCAAACGAACTTCGGGCGCGCGGCATTTCTCTCCCTATATCACACACACGCCTCTCGGTTTGATGCTCTTTGCACGGCCCATGCTGACTCTTTTGAACAGTGGTGACAAGAAGACCAAGGGTGCCGCCCTTGTGTTCTAAGCGATCGTCGAGTGGGAAGTTCGGTGGAGGCAGGATGGAGGGACAGGCTTGGGCTTCCGTACCCTGGCCTAACATGGTCGTTCTATTGAGACCCGGGGAGTGGTTTCGACCCTAACATGGAAAAGTTGGGCTTAGAGGGCATGTACATGGGCATGGACGGTTTGGACGCGGAACAATGAGCAATACCATCCATGGGGCGTTAAGTCTGCGCTTCTTATATCTACGAATGATGCTACCTTCCGATTATCCCAACGTCCAACATCATCTTCGGCGGCCTTTGGCATCTCGGGATTGTTCTGTCAATTCAGACTTCCCAGATACACCACTCTAGTCTCCACCAATTCTACGAGAATATTGCGCCAATCGTTGCATGATTGTGGAAGCATTGGGGGACTGTTCAAGTTTCTTGAGCCTCCCTTCTGATCCACTGAAGTGGCATCGGTGTTTGCGCCTAATTTGTGCAGGTTGCTGCCCTGGCCGTCAGGTTCTGAGAGTGCGTTGTATCTGGACTGGCCTTGGGAGTATGGCCATGACACTCGCCTCACAACCTTCTAAGCACCAGTATTTTCGTGAGGGGCCATTCGCTGCTGAAATGCTGTATGTCACCTCACCAGCTTCATATGCTCGGTTGGTAGCAAAGTCACCTGTGGTCACAAATGTGTCTCGATATCTGAGTGCGGGCGCCTTTGTCAATTTGTGGCGCAGCCAGTAACTGCGGCCACCTCATGTCGCCCACAGTGGCGGGAATATGCTATTCCAAGGGAGTGCGTCACCCATCTGCGATTAGTTTATTCAGCCTGGAGCTAGCAGCCCTATCATGTTGCTGTTGCGTTCAGCTTTCAGCAACTCCTCGGAGAGGCTGCGTCAGAAGAACTCATTGTTGTTGCACACCGTGTGACCAACAGCCAAGGGAACAGGTTGAAGGTCGGACCCCTTGTTCCAGATTGATCTGCCTGATGACCAACTTCTCTGGCAATAGTGTTGAGGGCACTTCGCAGTTAGATGACAACATTCCACGTAACCAGCAAACGAGGTCATCAGCAAGCCTCTAGGTACTCAACCTTACAGCTGTTGTAACAGAAGCAGTTTGCAGAAGAAACGCGCGAGAGTCAACCAGTTCAAGCGCTGCAACAAAGAGGAGGAAATGAACGGGATAGCAGTGATGCGCAGCGTGCTAATCCACATCGGGTGTGCTTCACGCTGCCAAGATACAGGGGCGTTGACTGCCGGGGCCGACTTCAGCATTCCAGTCTTCGCGATGACTGTAATGCCGTCACAAAACATCGTGAGTTGATGACTCTTGTTGCAAATGGACTGCCAGAGCTCTCCAGAACTGGCAGTTACTGACATGTGAAGCTCGATTCTCTCCCCAACGGTGAAAAGGTGTGGAGGAGACGACGCCAAAAAGCCATTCCCGTTGCTCGCCGGGACGGTGAAGACGAGCTGGGGAAGCACTGGCTCCGGAGCAATCGCGCGCCAGCTGGCTGGTCGCACGTCGTCAAGCCACATCCAAACCGGTTTGCTGGGGCCAGCCAATCCCGAGGCGCCCAGCCACTCAAACCAGCGTACCCGACCCTATAGCGGCGTCAATAGTGGGCTGTGCTGAACCGATGATATGAGGTCCTGCAAGCCATTTGCGAGTGCGACGGGGACAGGGGATTGGCCCTCAGCCGCACGGCAGGCATTCGGAGAAAGCCCTAGAGGTCCAGGCCTTGGATGCCCAAGTGATGGGCAGTGGCTAGCAAATATGAGGGCGCCCGCAGCCACCAGATCGGTGGATGGCATGGTGGAAAAAGTTCACATGCATGTTTGGTCACCCTTCGAGTTAGAGTTTTGGTGATATTTTTGCGCCCTGTGCGACGAGATCGGCATTCGTTTAAGGAGCAGAGGATTTGAAGAGGAAAGCTCGAGGGAGACAGCGGGACGGAGATCGATAAATGAACTGGCAAGCGCGACCAGACCCCACGCGGTAGTCACCGACACGAAGACGCAGCGGCAGTCGCGCGACTGCTGCCCGCTGCCCGCGGGGGAGCCGAAATGCAGCAACAACCGCTTCTCCAGACGCAGCACCAACCATGGGAGGGCCGGAACACATCATATGGATCCTACGAGTATAACCCCCAGCCGACAGAGGACCGGGAGGATGGAATCCCAGAGGATGAGGATCGGGAGGATCAAGAGCACGAGCATGAACAGGAGGCCAAGATCAGCGAAAACCCGGCACTTCGGCGCATCATCAAAATCCCCGATTACAAGCCAACACCACTACGATGGCCTTTTATCGTCACCCTCGCGGTGCTGCTGTGCATCGCGATCGGCCTGATTGCCTACGCGCAGAAGGCCATGCCGGACTCAGACAGCGATGCCGTTTTTATTGGGCCGAACCCCACCGTGGTTCATGGAGCGACTCGTCGTCGTTTGGCTCGAGCGGTCAACTCCTCGACCACAAGTACAACAATGACTAGCTCCTCGGCGACTCTGCCCAGTGGTGCTGTTCTCATCCCGACCTCGACCACTGTCATCAGAACGACTTACACGCCCTCCGTCTCGCCCAAGATCGAAACCGAAGTCTTGACACTGACCACAGTCCGAACCATCACCCACTCCAGTACGAGCGAGTATCTCACCACTGTCGTGTCAAGCCTTCCCCCACCGCCGAAGCCATTTTACCCCTCGGTCAATGGGTCGGCCGCGTTCACTTATACTTCGCCGCCCGTGGCGCCCGTGACTACGTTCACTCAAACAGCGACAGCTGTAGTGGGGGCATCTGAGGAGGTCATCACGGATATTGCCGTCTCAACCACTGTCCGCACCATCGCGCCGACAGTCATCCCGACCTACGGCGAGGTCACCATCACCTATTATGAGACGAAGCTTCCCCCTCAGAATCCCGATACTATCATCAACGAAAATGGTCGTCAGAAAGAGCCCGAGACCATTGTTGACAAGCCGGAAACTATAACCGTCATCAACCAGCCACCGCCAGTTGTTATTGTTACTCCTGAGGTCAAGGTAGAAACTCATGTTTTTAACCAAATTGAGACTGGGACAACGTTTGTCGGGGGCGGAGCCGTCACAAATGTCGTGGTCATCACACCAACGCCAGCGGTTCCCGTCGGGAGAGTCACCACAGAAGGCGGTGTTGTTACCACCGTTCAAGACTTTGTTGCGCCCCTTGCTGTCGGCGAGCCAGTCACTTACACTGTTGTCACAAACATTGGGGGCCAAGCCACCACGCAAGTTCTCGTGACAACACCCGTGGGGGCTCCTTTCCAACCCATAACCTACACCACCACCCGGCTTGTGGGAGGAACGCCAACAGTGGTCACCTTGGCGCCGCCACCCACCACTTTTGTCACCACGATCGACGGCACGCCGGTCACAAGAGTCACAACGCCGCCAGTGACAGTTTTCACTACAACTCTGGGAGGGACTCTGACGACGGAAATAGTTGTTACGACGCCAACGGGCACGGAACCGATCACCCTCACATTCGTCTCAACCTCCGATGGCAGTTTGATCACGTATACGAGAACGCAGTCCCCCACGACAGTCGTAACGACAATCTCCGGGAAACTGACGACGTTCACGTCAACCCCATCTGCGTCCATGAGCCTCTCCACCAAGT